TTATGAATCAGGGTGAAGTCTCTCTCAGGGAGGAGTGATAGGGAATGGCAAAGGACACACTGACAAAGGAGATTAATCAGAACTGACTTTGACAAGCACTGTGGCAATTGGACAATTAAAACAGACATTCGGATGGCGGGGGAAGAAGAACAAACTGGGGAGGAGGGTAGAGAGAATGGTGCAGCAATGAAGGAATGAAAACCCAAAATCCCTGTAAATGTTCATTAAAACTAATAAAAAAAAAGTGAAAAAAATTATTTTATCTCTGTGTGTGAACCTTTCTGTAGCTTTTCCTAGTAATGGTCTATAACAATGTCCTCTATATGCACGCATGTTACGCCACATTTTCGAAATTCTTTATTGTTCTTTAGTGTTGCATGGTATTCCATTGTTTGAATATATCATAATTTCTTTAAAATGTGCTATGTAGTACAACCATAGTAATCAAAAATTCAGTACTGGTATACAAACAATATAGAGACCAATGGAGTAGAACTGGGAACCCAGAAATAAATTCACCCATTTATGGACAACTGATATTTGACAAAGAAATTAAATGCATTATGTTGTTGATATTGTAAAGTGCCGTCAAGTCAAACATGACTCATAGTGACTCTACGAACAAAAGACCTTAACTCTGTTCTAAAACTATAGTCATTTTTCTGAATTCATAGAGTTTCCACAGGCATGTTGTTTATGAAGTAGATGCCACTCCTGCTTGCAAGTCTGTCTCAATCTGGGAACTCCACCAAACACTGTCAACCATGTGTTATGGCATTTGATACACCAATGGCACAGAATTCAGTATCATAGCAATCCCAAGTTACTTCAGTACAGCATATTGACAGACGAGTGCTGTACAACTTGGGAGACTGTTCATTACACAATTAGCACCAGGTCCAAGGGCCCAAGTGAATTTTAAAAAATCCCAGACCTGTGTACCAGGCCCTGACTGACTCTAACAAAGGCTTTCTGCTAGCAAATCATCAAATCCAATCAGCTCACACATGAACAAAATAAAACCAGCCAAACAGTCCACAGCCTGACCTTCCAAATGCATTAAATAGGAGAAAATATAGCCTCTTCAGTAAATGGTATTGTCAAAACTAGGCATCTATTTATAAAATATGTAAACAAGATCTATACCTCACACCATGTACAAAATCTATCTCAAGATGGATAAAGGAAACCTAAAACTAAGACATTCATAATAGAAAAAAAAATGGGTCAGACTTAGAAGCCCAAATCAATTGCATAAATATACTATTAAAGGTAACTGAAAATGCATAAGATAAAGTAGATAACTGAAACATCCTCAAAATGAAATCCTCTGCACATCAAAAGACTTCTACAAAAGAGTAAAAAAAAAGAGAAACTAGAGAGACTGGAAAAAAATTTGGCAATGGTGACAAGGGACTCATCTCTAAAATTTACAGAAAACTCAGACTTATCTGAACAAGGAAAAGACAAATAAAAGCTTCTTTTGAATCGCAATCACTTGTTATGCATCAGAGAGTTGGACAATGACCAAGGAGGATAGAAGGAGAATTGATGCCTTTGAGCTGTGGTGCTGGAGAAGAGTATTGAGAATACCATGGACTGCTAGGAAAACAAACAGATTTGTCCTGGAAAGGGTTAAACCGGGTGGCTCCTTGGAGGCAAGGATTCTGAGGCTCTGTCTAACATACTTTGGACATGTTGTGAGGAGAGACCGGTCCTTGGAGAGGGACATCATGCTTGGGAGGGTGGTGGGACAGCGCAGGAGGGGAAGGCCCTCTATGAGATGGATTGATTCGGTGACTGGGATAATCGGGATGGGAGTGTCAGAGACAGTGCGATTGTCACAGGACAGAGTAGAGTTGTGGACTGTTGTACATAGGGTCGCTATGAGTCGCAAGCGACTCGATGGCACATAACAACAACACTCAACTCTCCTTCACTCACTTTTCATGTAAAAAAATAAAATTCAGGAAAGAGAAAATTGAGAAAAAGCTTAGTAGGAAAAGAATTATGTTATTCTTTTCAAAATAAATATTAAAGAGTAGGAAAGCTATTTTGCATCACACTGACAATAATCTTAGGTATTTCCATTATGTACACCATTAACTGTGTATTCAGATGTAAATTCAAATTAGAAGCACATGAAAAGACTTGTTAGACCTTTTCATTGATAAGTTAATACTCAGAACTCTTACGGAAAAGACAAGAAGCTTTGCAAAGTAGCTGGCATTTTCAACTTTCTAAAATTCTTTGTTAAGTGAATTATTTGAAAACCAGGGGTGACAGTTTTGTGGTCTGATAGGTAACAATGTGCCAAAATGTCAGTAACTCAACTACCAGCCCTTGGGCTTCATTCATATCAACACTAAGTCATGCTCTTTCAAAAGCTGTTTATAGTGATTTCTAGTACTCCTTTCCAAACTGGAAAAGGAAGCTGCATCCATACAAATTTCAAATCGATTGACATATTTAAATGTCAGTGACAACACTATATTTTTATACAGTTCTAACTTCTAGACACATATGAAACATGAAGAGAGTTTGTCTTTTAGCCTAACTTCCATTAAGATATAGCTAGATGAACATTTGGCAAATGCCACAGCTTTGGAAGCTTTCAACCTTAATTACTGTTGATGACTATAAATCTACTCATTTTAATGCTGACTTTTCAGAGCATTCGTCCAGTGTATATCTAAACATACTAACCCCAGTGCTTTAGTAGCTCAGATTACTAATATGAATGCAGCCTTATCTTCTCATCAGCAGTGCATAATAACACTTTAAGCTATGGACATTCAACTCAGTTCTAATCCCTATAAATGAGGATAGCAGTTTGCATGTCTTGAACAATCACCTCTACATGTGCATGCTTGGGCAATCAGAAATAATGGCCATTTGAAAAGAAATACAAAAGATTTAAAATGAAAATTAAACTATTATCAGTCAAGTGAGAATAGCTACCCCAAACAGCAATTTTCCTCCTCTACCCCTTCCTATAGAGTACTTGTAAACCGTTCCAACATGACAGTTATTTCTCAATGCCTCCAGATGATCTCTCGTGTTTGGTAGATGCTAAGGAAAGAACAAAAGATGCCAAAGGATCAATGCATCTGTTCTTTTAAAATCCAGGGGACAATTTTCCCCATAACCACAACTTTCTATTTACATTCATTTCTAGATTTTATATTAATTCTGCCATCTATGTGGTCAATATTCACGGAGTGAATGTCTTTAATTTGTGTGTGGGTTTGATCATTCTGAATGTCCTAACACACCTGCAGACATGGCTGAAGGTGACAGTAGTTCTTATAGATCACAGTGAGGGTGCATGTGATCCTTATGACACAAGAGGGTTAGGCCTTGCTATGGACTGAATGGAACTGTGTCCCTCCCGCCAAAGATACATTAGTGTCTTTAAACCCTGTACTTATGTACATGACCTTAAATGGAAACAGGGTATTTGCAGATTTAATTAGCTAGCATGAAGTCAAAATAAGTTCCTTATCCTGTATGCTTGGTGTCCTTATTTCTTAAAAAACACAACTAACAACTAAGGAAGAGACCAAGATAATGGAAATACAACCACGTGAAATATAAAGACAAGGCCTTAAGTTATGCTGCCACAATCATTGGATGCCTGGGGTCACCAGAAGCTGTTAGAGACAAAAATGGTCTTTCACTTGAGCCTTCAAGTGAACAGGGCCCTATTCTAGCTTCTAAAGGCTTCAGTGAATAATTCTGTCATTTTTAAGTCAATCACTTTGTGATGTTTTATTATAGAAGTCATAAGAGACTAATACAAGTGCCTATTAATTAGGATTTATCAAGTCAAAGCTGAGTGCTGATTTGAAAAATGACATTAGGTGATTCTGAGATTTTGTTCATGATGCATTTTGCTTTATTTGTCTGAAAAACCCCATCTGCAGAGTGTGAGATAAATATATTTAAATACACAAATAGATAGACTGAAACATGTACGCTATACATTAGTGTTACAATTGTCTAATGATCTCCACCATCATCCATGCAAACTGTGAGCCACATTCCACAAAGGAATGAATTTCCAAAATAAAAGTGGACAAGAAATTTACCTTTTGAATACTAGGCATGGAACTTAAGAATTAATGGTAAAAATGCAAGTGTATGCAAGCATTGAGTTGTGTTTGAAAGAAATGTATACTGGGTTTTAAAAGAACACATACATTATTCCTTTGGCATTCCTTGATGATACAACTTAGGATATACCATCAGCCATTGCTTCAGCTGAGAATGTTGAAGAACAAGGTTAAGAATCCCACTGAAAATGTTGGATACTATTCCAATGCATTATCACTCAACAAACTACACCTGCCTCTTCCAAGTTCAGACAAAGATCTGCAATGGGTTTGCTAGGAGAGAAGGCCACAGACTTTGTCACTGACTTTGAGTTCGGCTCTGAAAGACCTTGGAGGATTTGAATATCACACTTTTAGTTAGCAAAGTGAGCTGGAGTACAATTTTTGTATTCCCTCTCATGCCAATGCTGTCTTCCTCTACCTGTGCACATAATGCACATCCCCTAAATCATCTGTGCAGATGAATGTGAACCAGAGGTATTTGTGCTCTATCTGTCTGTGAAGGGCAATAACAAAATGTTACAACCCATTGAGCAATAAACTATGCATCCTTTTTGCAAGTCTTTGCTTACATTTTATTTGCAACATTTCACCTCCCCTGTAAATTTTATTTCATAGTCTTCCGTAATTTCTGGCAAACATAAGTAGATACCCAGATGGTATCTCTTTCCTCCATAAGCTAGAAATAATGTCTCCAATATAAATTCCAATCTCATCTTTATTTTTATGATTTAGAGTTTAAATTTTGGGAAGCAGCAGCACATAGAAGAGTTGAGACAGTACTTTTTTTTTCTTTTTATGTGAAAGGAAGAGCAGCAACATTTAAGCACGCGAAGGCAGCACATGATTGCATTGCTTCAACAGGAAGAGAATGTAAAAGGGTACCTGATAACGCAGGCATAAAGACCACTGTCCTGTAGCAATGTGGGCCTGAACCAAATGGAGTCTTCTTCCTTGCTCATTCTACTTCCATCAAATGCAATGGGCTCTTCGAAGTCTCCAGGGCCAGAGCTTTTATACCACATCAAACTGAGCCCAGCACTTTGGGCAAGGGAGTAATTCGCTCTGATGTAACCGTAAAAAAGTGCACATTTGATTCGAACAGGCTCTCCCACCAATACTTGGTATTTCTTGATATCGACAGACCAATCAGTGCATCCATCAGCTACAATGGAGGGGGGAAAAAAAGAAAAATATTAGAGACCATTTGAAATTATAATCTCATTCATTTAAAAAATACTAATAGGGTTAAATAATACATCAGACACAGAGTAGATAAAATAAAAATTCAAATTAATAGCTGTTGAGTCAGACCTGGCTCTCAGCTGAGCCTTGGGTGGTTTTTCTGAGGCTGTAAATCATACAGGAGACAGCCCATCTTTTCCCAAAGAGCTTCTGGTAGATTTGAAATGCCAGAGAGGTGGCATCTCTGGGCTAGCAGCACAACTCCCTATGGGCTAGGCCACTAGAATCCCCCACAGAAGAAAAAATTGTAAAAGTCATTGCTTTGGAGCAGAAATAAGACTCATAGGTGATCCTCCAGTAGGTTTTCAGGGGATGTAAATTGCACAGGAGGAGATTGCCATGGAGCAGCTGGTGGATTCGAACTACCTGCCTTTGGGTTGGCAGCACAACTTTTAACCACTAGATCACTAGAGGATATAGCAGCAAATAAAACTTGGACGGCACTGAAAAGTAATTTCCTCTGCTGAAAAACAATCTTTGTATTTCTCCTTTGTGTATATCAATGTGTCAGTTATCAATTTATTGACTCTGAGCTTCAAATCCACCTTTTTACCTGCTCTATGAAAACGGCTCTGGGTCTTTTAAATGGCTTTTTTTTCCCCCTCTGACAGCTGGCGCTGACACTTTGTCAGGAGATTGTGCTTTCTTGATTCCTCTGCACTTACCTGGCAGTGAGAACCAGCTTCCTGCACTATATGCTTATCTAGCCCTTGACTCCTGCTTGACTCCCACACCACCACAGGGCAATATTTTAAGAGTCTCTCCTAAGACATTTTCAAGTGCATAGCTCTCCCAAGCTCTCTGGAAAGCTGATGTCTGGATGACCAACAAATTCCACCTGAACTTCATTGATTATTTTTGGCTATTCATTAAGCCATGGCCATGACTTCTCAACAAGGTCTGGACTTAGCTTTGGGATAGCGAGCATGAGGATACGTCACTGGGTGCTATATAACTCAGCCCTGGGTGTAATGGCAGCTGGTTTCTGTGCTCCTCAAGGTTCTTTCTCCTTATTAGCCAGCCTCTCATTATTCCAATCATTTGTTACATTTGATACATTTTAAACTAAATGTCTGCTGTTCAAATGACTGTGTGGTTTCACTTTAGGGTTGGAATTTAAAAAAAAGTTAATGACCAATGAGCCACAAAAGAATGAAAGCGAAGTAGTGTGGACAATAGTCGTGGTTTTACACACCATGGCAGAAGACAATGCTGAGCTCTGATTTCTGGGAGCATTAGGGGAAGTTTAAAGACACAAAGCATGGGAAGATTGGTGTGTAAGAGGAGTAGGCACAGTAGGGAGCTCCAGTGGTGCTGTAGTAAGGAGTTGTGGTGTCAACTCAAAGGCCAGTGGTTTGGATCTACCAGCTGCTCCATGAGCAAAAGATGGGCAATTTACTGTGGTGCTGTTTACAGCGGCTCCTTAGGAGAAAGATGAACCATCTCCTTGCGTGCAGTTGTTCAGTCTCTCAAACCTAATTGGAGGGTCGGCTTTCATTGTGTGGCAATGAAATAGATGTCAGAACCTAGAATGTATTCACTCTACCACCAAAATATTCTGTTTCACAAAGTTTGTTCAATTCCACATAATTTTTTTCTTTAATGAATTTCAATTATCACATATTGGTTATAAGGTTCTTACTAAAGAGCTGAATGTACGTCATCTAGAATCTCTGTGTCATTTCCGTAATCTCCATCAAAGACTGCCACAGACCTGGCCTCATGTTAAGTAGGGTGTCACTTGGTGGACAAACAGAATCACTACAATGATACAATTAGACTCAATATTTATCAACACAATGTTGTACATTCATCCCACTGCATGGAACGAACCCTATTTTATTTTAAATTAAATCCTACTGCTAATACAAAATTTTTACACTTTACCACTATATAAATTATGATACAATTCTAGAATCAAGTTATGGTAAGTGAAGCCATCTGTCACAGAGGATACTGCTGTCAGTGAAAAAGCCTGAAACACCTTCAAGGTAATAGTATAAACAATGAGATGAAATTAGTCAAACTCTCAGAAGAATGGCAGGATAGAGCAAAATGCTTGAAGCAAAGAGTGAAGATATTTCATCTAGAAAGTTCTAAAAAGTTAGTGATAAATTAGATCAAGAAAACATAGGAATAGATACTTATATTAATATATACTTTTCAGAATATACTAAGAAAACTGTTGAAAGAAAATGATGATTGTTCCTGACGATTAAATTATGCACTATTTAAAGTAATAAAAAATAGTTGGAAATAAATCAAAGAGTTATATGACAAGGTGAAATGAATAAATAACAGAACCTTGGACATCAAAGACATACTACAGGACTTCTGTATTTAATTTAATATGTAAGTAGCTTGTGGATTATGCTTTAGGCTTGACTACTATAAAACAAAATGCACAATGTTCAAAATAAGCTATCACATAATCAAGAAATTTTAATGCCTTTTGGGGAAAGATAGCAAATAGTGGAAAGAAAAATTTAAATTATATGGTTAAACAGATTTAAATGAATGCTGCACGTTGGTTTCAACAATCACAATAAAGTATTTTATTAAGTGATTGAAGTGATAATATTTCTTATTAAGATTTGCTTTACATGTATTCCATGTATATTTGGGTACAAATAACACAATTTCCCCTATTTAATAATAAACTACAAGAGAAACTTGACTTTTCACTACTAAATACCTCAATATGTATGCCCTTATGAATTGCTGGTAAGTGCCAATGAAACTACTATGACTCATAGTAACCTTATGAACAACAGATCTGTCCATTGCCCTATCTTGTGTCATCTTCATGATCTCTGCCACGCTTTAGCCCATTATTATTGAGGGTCTACTCTTTCTCTGACCTTCCTCTTTTCCAAGATTGATGTGTTTTTCCAAGGAATGGTTCCCACTGACAACATATCCACAGTATGTGACATGAAGTTTTACCATCCTTGCCTCTAAGAAAACATCCTGGCTTCACTTGCTCCAAAGGGACTTATTTGTTCTTTTGGAAGTCCAGGGGTATTCAGTACTCCAACACCACAACTCAAAGTCAATCAGGATTCTTCCGTTATTCTTTTTGACTGTCCAACTTTCAGATACATAGAAAGCAATCAAAATATCGCCACTTGGATCAGGCACATCTTAGTCTTTAAATGGATATCACTGCTCTTTAGCACTTTGGAGATATCTAAGACCACAGATTTTCACAATACAGTAAGGTTTCTGAGCTCTTGATTTCATTATAAAGATGAACATTTTTTTTAAATGTATAACCAGAAAGTTTTATTTTTGTCTGTGTTAGGGTTTGCTTTTATATTACCTTGAGTAATGGGATACTTCGAAGTGCTGTCTCCCATACTTTGGGCATGGGGCCAGGAGGGACCGATACTTAGAGAAGGATATCATGTTCAGAAGGGTGGAGGGACAGCACAGCAGAGGAAGACCCTAGATGAGATATAGTAACTAGGACAATGTGTGTAGGTGTGTTGGAGTCAGTGAGACCGGCTCAGGACAGGGCAGGCTTCAGAGCTGCTGTACATCAGGTACATACACAAGTTGCAGGTGACTCAACAGCATACAACAACACCAACACACTAACTTGATTATATTTTCAACTTTTCTGTAGAACACAGCTACATTGGTTTGGCCACAATAATTCGAAAAGTATACTTATCAAGAATGTTAATTCCATTATATAAGTTACCAGGAGACCCTCATTATTATTTTAAAATTATCACCAGGTAATTCTTGAAGGCAGTGGTATTTAATATCTTTTTTCATCTTTCAGAATAAAATATCCTTTTATAATTATGTTTTAGAAAATTTCTTATTGGTACTCTTCTTTCTGAAGAGGAAGATTCCATGGAAACACTGTAATTCAATGACATTCACTAAAAGCCAATGAGTGTTTATGAAGCCATAAAGTTATGTGGAGGGGGAGAGTAGAAAGCATCACATTAATTTGTTTTTGTCACAACCCATGAAGCTCAGAGAGCTTATATGAAGACAATGATGGAATTAAGATTTAGAACTAATTCCTTCCCAGGAAGTTCATAGTGATATCCCATTTAATGAACAAAGGCTACATAGATTGGAGAATGCGAATAAATTCAAATGAGATTAAGGGAAGCTTTTCTAATTAAATCATTATTACTACATATGTAAGAGCTCAAAATATTTCCATGGCAACAAGACTGAAGGCTGAGTTCTTTTAAAAAAGAGAGAGAAAAAGGAAGAAATCATCTAATTGTAAAGCTTACAAATATTGAATATTAATGTGAAACCTTAAGATTTTAAAAGATGGCAAATTATATTACTCTGAAATTATCTACCTGGATAAGTCTAATGGAATAAAAAGAAAATGAGTGGAACATCCACTACGGTGTAGCAGAATCTACAATGGCCCATCCTGACCCCATTGTCTGAAAAAGATGTGTCCATTCTATAGTTACCTTGAGTGCTGGATACCTACAACAGTTCACAGTTGCTCAAATCTTTTGAAAAATTGCCTCTGACTGATAGGAACTACCCTGCTTGGAAACTTACACTCCCTTGGGTATAACCTACCACCAAAAATTGGCTCTTGTGGGTTAATCTTTAGCAGTAAGTGCCTCAAGTCTTTCACCAAGCTAAACTGGGTCAAGTGCAAATCTGGTAGTTTGTTCCTGAAGTTTCCCTCCAACCATAATACCTTGGTGTTCTTCATATTGTCCTCTTTTCCAATTATTTGCTCAGCATATAGACTGAGCGAATGGAGAATAACAAGAAAAGTATTACTGGTTTCTAGTTCATCGTATTTTTTCATTTAATTGTCACAGTGTATTGTTGTTTGTTAGCCATTCTCAAGTTGGTTGCTTTACAGCCGCTCTATGTACAGAGTGAAATAATACCTGCTACCATACCATCCCCACAATCATC